GGTCGTTGGTCGGCTTGATTGTCGTAGTATTTGGAAGTAGGATGAGAGGTCCTGTAAAATCCCAAGACAATCAGTTAGTATGCACGACAGGCAATAGTCGCGGAGTCAGGAGCCGGAATGGTTAGAAGCACATTATATTTCCACGATAAGCAGCAGCAAAAGCTGTAATTACCACCACAACCAAAAAAGTGTGTTTATAAACAACATTCGTTTTTACAAGTATTAGGAAGGATGCACAGAATGTGTAAAAAAACGATGAAAAGGAAATATTGCTTTTAGTTGAAGTGGTTTATACACAATGTTATGCAGTCTCCACACCCTAAATAAGTAACTTATATACTGATGGAAAAGTAAACTAACATCCTTGATGTCACAGCGATGCGTCTTTTTCATTTTTTACTTTGATTTAGCAAATCACATTACACTAACTAATTAACTTACTACAGTTTGAAACTCTTTTTTGGATTTTTACACTGAAATGATTGATTAGATGTGGTTGGCACCGTAATAGTCTATCAGACAAACTCATGGTTATTTAAGGTGCTGTTTCCAAGCACTTACTGGTGCGCTGATGGCTAACATACAAGATACAACTCGCATCCTTAATATTGACATCAGTGACCAGCAAATATTATGAAAACTGAATAGACTGTAAGGTGAATTACTAAAAAAGGATAAACATGCTGTTTTTACCACGATTTTCGAAGGTTCTAGATATTAGGGTTTGATAATTTATTGAATAAATTAAGTTTCTTTGAATACATTTAACGGGATATCCGTGAAATAATGGAAAGTTTACGCTGAATAACTAAGTCCTGTACCAAATACTTCTGGTTGCCTTACTCTTCGGTACAACATTTAACAAGACCTGTTTTACTGTTTTAGGTATCAGGCTTTGATAGTAATAATCGGATTTGTTACTGACTATATATCCAGTATAACGGTAAAATAGAATTTCTATTCGACTAAGTGATATACTTTATTCCTTTTTTGATAGCTAATTCCATTTTATAGATACCAAAGTTCAGTTCTTCTAGATAAAAAGTAACCTGGTTATGAAATGATAGTAAGATTTTAACAACTGTAGGCTGACTGAAGTGACAGAAAAAAACTGAAGATAATTTTATGTTCACCTGAGAAGGTGAGTTGTTTAGGGGATTAACGGATCCATGAAGTTTTCGAAGAAATCATAATAAGACGTGGACCAGTGTTCTCCATATAAAACTTCCAGCCTCTAGGCTATCAAAATGAACCTATTCTGACTGCTAAGGTCATTATGCTTTAAATAAGTGTCTTAGGTAGCTGGTTTTGCTTACATTGTACCAGCATACCTGTATTTTAGGTTTTCCATTCTACCTACAGTAGGATGCTTAGCAGTCAAAGACGTTTTTTACAACAGTTCACAAAAATTTGAACTTCTAAATGAAAGTTAGGGATACTTAAAGGAAATAACTTTGCAGAAATTCCTTCAACAAGCCTTTCGGAATTCACTTAGCTTATACTAGGAACACTTCTGTATAAAATTAGAATGATAGGAATTTCAAAATGCCAGGTGGAGATGATTGAGTTAAATTACGAAGAAGAGAAAATGTTCTAGCAGTCACTTTAGCAACGATATGTATCATTCATCTTAATTGTTTGACAGACTGACTTGAGTAGTGAACTCACGAGAAAATCTGAGTGTGACAAGGACTTTAGTTCCTATGGTGTCTATATAAAAAGATAAGACAACTCTTCATGGAAAAGACCAATGCCCTAGACAATTTTTGATTACAATAGCTTTCATCTAGATGTGTAAAACTATTAGTTTATCAAAGCACTTAGATTTGATCTACAAGATCATACTTTGTAAAAAAGTTAGATTGACAGTTTAATATTACTGAGAAGTCTTTAAACAGAAGTGTTAATTCAAAAGGTTTATCATAGAAAACAGATTAGAAATTATTGAAGAAACTACTCACTGAAGTGCAAAAGAGATGAAAGTATTTATTCATCTTGCATTCCCATAATCCACAAAATCCAAACTTTCGGAGTTATTAAATAGAAATATCAAATCAAAATGACATCAACATTTGATACCTCATATTAACGCAAGTAATCCAAAGTGAACAAATCCAATGTACACTTCACTTCCTATTTAGTTTATGAGTTAACATGCAATTACAGCAGGAAGTAATTAGAAATCCTTCAGCCAGTGAAGAATCAGGTGAATAATTACAGTAAGCCGGATTCCTCCAATTTCATTAACTGCACAAGAGATGTCAGCGTGCATAGAAATCCTGTGCGATCATTGAAAGTCACATCACCCTTCACAAATATCTCTTTGATACAAACAACACGCTTGCTATGCGACTATTGTGAGATCAACAAGCTTGAAATGTAGATCCCTAGACATTTTCTCAACGGACTGCTCTTACTATCTACCTTTAATATACAAATCAGATTTACTAAAGGACTTTATTGACAAATGGATGGAGTAGTAATTAGTTCGCCATTGGATCCTCTCTTGACTGATTGCTTCATGGCTAGTCTATGGAACAGTCAACTGTGCTCATTGATCAACAATTTCCATCTATATACAAGACACATGCATGATACTTTCATCACCTGTGAGAAAGATAGTAACCTTTAAAATATACTACAAAAGTTCGATGAATGTCACAAGTCAACTAAATTTGATTTGCAGTGGAAACCGAAAATAACTCAGAATTCCACTTTCTGGACACTCTATTGAAAGGAAGACATGTTGGTTCCCTAGGGCGATCGATCTATGGAAAAAACATGGAATAGACAATGTGCTAATCTTCAAAGCTAGGTCCACTAGTGATTCATTCACCATGTACAAGATACTAGGAGGATTTGTAGAGAGGATGCAGTAAATGAGGAGTTGGAAGCACTTCGAAGGGTGTTCATCAATAATGGTTACCCTTCAAGATTCACTGAGAGAAACATGAGGTGTATGCATGTGAGCGAAGAAACCCGTTTGGTTCCAAGGAAGATACTGTGTCTCAACATAAGGTTCAAGAGATATACATTGGGAGAAATATTGAAGAATCGTCTGTGCAAAGCACCGAAGAAGACCTGCTTTTTCGTTAGCAACTGCTCCGAGGGTGTGTGAAGGATTGACCACCTCGGGTCACTTCCATGTGTGTTTACCAATTCACATGCTCTGGTGGAGTCGGATACATAGGCCAAACAAAGCGTGTTCTATTCAAACTTATCTCCGAACACTAACCTGCCTGGCTGTCTAAATGAGAGTGTAAACCCATCAAAAACACGATTCTTGAACATTTGGTTGACTTTGGCCAATGTGTTCCACGAGAGTCTTGCTTCAAAGTCGCTTATGAAGCGAAATCAAACATTTCGAGGGGAGTGTGTATTCGGCACATCAACATCAACACAGCAGAGGCTTTGGCAATCCAGTGTCACAAGCTTGATCTTTGAGTTCAAAAGCGATGCATTCGATCTCCAATTTTGCATTGATCGTAATCTCCCCAGAACAGTTTATTCATTTCTTTGTTTACTGTAGATATTATTGTAGATATGATTAAAATGTACAGCTTTTGAAAATGAGTCGGCAGAAAGAAAATTTTCTTCACTGGAATGTCTTCTGTTAATTTTTTGTTGCTTAGAAAATATTGAAAGGACGTCGTTTACCTACTTTTTAGACAAATTCTAAAGAATTTACGTCTACATTAGGAAAGGACCTGTGTATTGTAATTAGTAGATATATTATGGATAAGGGATTTCAGGTTGGTGTTTCTGATGCTTTTAAAATAATGAATACAAGGAAACTGTTTTGGTTCACAGAAGCTATACCCCTGAAACATTTTACACTGAATTAATGCATTTGAAAAGAGAGTATGGTCAATCTTTTTACCCTCTTGATTACTGTACTTTGATATTTCTTCAGCTTAATCACGTAATACTTGATCTATGATCAGTTATTGCTGTTTAGTCACTGGTTTCACTCAGTTATTTTTTTCATTCATTACATTGTATTATTCGTTACTTCTTTCCCATTCCTTTACCTTTTGTCACAATTCCCGAGCCTTCCATTTAATTATATATAAATGACCAACGGTATAAAATGCTGGTTTTACTAATTTGGATTATATTCATGATTATTAGCTGATTTACAGAATGCTATTCAAGTCTTAGTCGGAGCAGCATCGCTCACTGGCAGGTAGGTACATCCAGTTGAAGAGTCTGAAATAGAAAGAAACGCGGTCCCTGCTAGCCAATATCCATCATTAATATCAGCCGAGTTGTTCTAGTTAAATTACGCTATCCTATGCTTATGAAGTACTGGTTGTTTGCTTACAATAAATAGTCGTGAAGTAGAATAAGCTCGTTTTATCTCTGAAAATCAGATTGTTCATATTCATCAATCTAACAAAATGCATAATATTCATTATGAAGTGAGTCTATTAATTCTCTGTACCTTGATAAAGGTGCTTGTTAATATTATTTAATTACGCCCACTGTAATTGTGAATTGCGATGGTTTATTATTTTGGTGCCAGCAGTAGTAATGCTGAGCTATTCCTTACCATCGTTCATGCCTATAGTAAATTCCAATTAAGACTTCTTGATGATATAAGAACAAATTACCGAAGATTGAATGAATATGTAGATTGGCGTAAACATTTATTAATGTCCCTCTATTGTCGTTCGATGATACAGTAAACCAGCCTATGTGGTTATGCATGTGTTTTACTAATTTCTTACTTTTTACAAACTTATTTCAGTTTTATCTTCTTCAGCGTCAACCAAAAAAGCGGACAAAGAAAATTTTTAACGTGGGTAGTATCATTTTTATTTAATAACCTTGAATTCAACCAGTCATTTCTGCGACCTAGAAATCCTGAAATCAATTGTTTGAACGCCTACAGCCAATCATACAAATTGTCAGTTCGGCTTACCTAACTATAAATTTAATTCAGCTAGAATTTTGCAGCTCGATCATAACTTAAAAAGCAGATAATATCTGATTTAATTATGCCACTTACATCACGTTCGCCGTACGACAGTAAAACACTATTGGCCAAATACTATGATTTACCACAACCTGAAGACACGGTTCAAGTGATGTATGTCTGGATAGATGGAAGTGGAGAAAATCTTCGCTGCAAAACTATGACCATGCAGAATGAGCCACAAACTCCAGAAGGTAAGCTTAATTATTTTCGAGAGATTAGTACTTATTTTTCTGCTGACATTTCAACTGCAAGGAAAGATCTATGAAAGTGTATATAGATGTGAAATTTGCATTATAACATTAACAAAGTGACGTATGTGTATAATTCCAAACCATCTATGTATTATGGTCTGGTTTACTTGGGCACCTTTCTTCTTTTCAGTAAACCATTATGACTGCACTAATTGGGGACTTAGAGAGTCAACAAAGTGATAAGTGGAAGTGTCTACTCATTGTGGAAATCGACTAATTATCAATGTAGGAGGACTTCAGTTTAGAAAGGTTTACTGTTGGATTTCCGTATTCTAGTTAAATGTTTACTTAAGCATCATAATAACTGATGATCTTATGATCAACTCCTTATGATGCTAAATTTCCATACTGTTGAGAAGTTAGAAGCACAGACGAAGTATCATACCTTACTTACTTACTTGAGTTACCTAACAATGTATCCAAGATAATATATAAGATTTTTGAGAAACATTTTGACCATCCCTTTATCAATGGTTTTAATTATTAAACTGTCATTTATCAGAGGAGATTTAACTCAGTATCATGTAAAAGTTATCACGATTCATGACTTTTTAAGTTGAACCACACTTCAAGTTTTAGCCCCTCAAGACGTGATGCTCCATTACTGTCTAAAGGACTTCACTTTTTAATTTGTTATTTTATGTTGACTGACAACACACTGACTGATAAAATCAACATTGAACCTCACACAAAAGTGTATCAGCACAATCTATCACACTTCACTGCAGTACACAAAGAACAGATGAATAGAAACAGAGTGATATCTTAGTAGATAAAGTAATGTAAAAGGATAAACAATCCGAAGATAACGGTTAGTGCCAATATTCAAGCTTTCGAAGATGTCAAGGAGTGAATACATCTGAGCCATTGTGATCGATTTTTAGCCGAAACCAAGAGTCAGCTCTCAACCACTGATTCCTTTCGTTTTTGGGGTCCGAACCAGGCAGTCTACATCGCACCACACGACTCATACCAACAGTCCGGGAATTCATTGACTGGTGTCACGTCTTGATCTGGCCACCTCGAACACTTTTCCAACCTAATCCAACTTCCATTAGATGGCACATCGAGGTGGGTGGTGGCTCGATGTGCGCACCACACATCCAAGCCACCTCAGCCGATGAAGTTTCACAACCTCGTCAATCAACTTGTCTAGTAAGCTTCGCCTGACCTCGACATTGTTCACACGGTGGTCCCACCAAACGCGAGCAATGCTACAAAGACATCTGTAGTCGAAACCCTGTAATCGCTTTGTGTCTTGCACTTTTAACGACTATATCTCACAGCCGTACAAAAGCACAGAACAAACTGCAGCGCAGTATACCCATCCTTTGATAGATAGTCGGATATCTCGCCAGTTAGTGTAACAGGTGATGTAGGTTGGCAAATGCCAAACGGGCCTTCCGTATTCGAGCTAAAATTTTGTCAGCAACCAACTCGTTCGGCCTAATGCAACTCCTCAAGTAAGTGAAGCGGTCGCAGCTTAAAAATCAAAGATTTTCTTTTGGTGACAATGTGGTGTTTAGAGAAACTTTATGCTCTTCATCCTATTTCGTCTTGCTTTTTTTCATCTCATTAAAAGATTGTCCGATGTGGAATTTCGATGGAAGTAGTACTGGTCAAGCTGAGGGCTCAAATTCCGATGTGTATTTAAAACCTTGCGCAATGTTTCGTGATCCATTCCGAGGTGGGAAAAACAAATTAGTCTTGTGTGAAACTTACAATTACGATAAGAAGCCCCATGGTAACTGATAGTACATTCATAGTTCATTATTTTTCTTATGTATATATGTGTGTGTGTCGGAAGATGTATAATTGCCTCATGAAGTATATGGAAGTGGTTGGAAATAAAATCCGAAATATATTTCCTATCTCTCTTAAGACTGATAAGCAAGATATATCTGTATCCCACTGAAAATCGGTATTTCAATGGAAACTTGAACTAACTATCCAATACTTTGAATACAACCTATTACAACGCTCATAGATTTTCATGAGGAATGTGTGTGAGAAATCAGGTCGCTTAGTTCAACTTGTTATTGTGCCACTGAGTCCTTATCGAATTTTACCTACCAAGTGTTTTTATTGCGGTCATGTAGCTAAGTGACTAAACACTGAAATGTACTGTCGGCATCTCAGCTGCCTTTATTTATTCAACATATAATCGTTTTCATGATTTAACACTCAGCTATCTACTTAAATAGTATCACGGATTTGCATTATTAAGATTATAAACATCCAGACCATAGTTGTCACGAATATTCTGGAAGAAGTCAAGCACCGAATTTGATTTAATCATAGAAGCATGTATTAATATAACCTTAAAATATTTAGAAAGTTAAAACAAGGTTTTTCTGAACGTTTTATTGTGTATGCCACGGCTTCTTCAGCAGAATATTCGGGATTTTTGCTAGAAAGTCATACTCTATTATGACAGGTTTTCAGTGGTTCTCCAACTGATGTCAGTCTATGATGAATATCAACTTGAAATCAATAGAATCCCTACAAACCTGAAAAATTGAACGGAATATGTTGTCAAGTAGTGTATGGTGGCTTGGGCAGCGAAGCTTCCAGAAAAGCCTTGTTTTAATTTTCTAAACGCGTTGGGACTATATTAAAACATATTGCTATCATAGTTTACATTGTCAAGAATATAATACGTGGGTTGATGGAACAATCGCAAAAGTCTTTTGAATTTAACTAGAATGCCTTCATAAATCAACAGCTAACGAGATCGTGTCATTTATTTCCCTAACAATGTTCTTCTTGTTGTGTATAATTTTCGTTGTAAAAGCAGATAAACAACAATAAATCAGCTGACTTGTAGAGTGTCATATGGGTTGTGAATGATTTGCTGCACTTGTTATTGAAAGAATCTCACACGTCCTTGTAAATAAATGTCAGTAAATCGCAGAATGATTGTTTATCAATCTGAAGTGATTTACTTTTCTAAACATCGTTACATTATCAGGGTTATTAAACACTTTCAATCAGTATATCTAATTAACTTAAATGAAGTGTGATCAGCGGTTGATCGGCTTTTATGAAAGAAGTACGTAGAAAAACATTTCGAAGATTTGTTAAACATGGTGTTTGAGACAGCTTGAACTTAGATTGTTCTTTTCTGTATGTAAAGAAGTTATTAAGTCATTAACTATTTATACCTAATATAGTATGAGGCTATGTATGCAGTAACTGGTAGAAGTCATTTATTAAAATAAATAGTGGCCATCTACACAGATATTATCAGTACGTGATAACAAAGAAAAACGTAAAATTTTCTCGTGATCCAAATAACAGTTGGATAGTAAATGAAATATATTTGTAAAATCCCAATGAAGTAGAAAAATAAATTTCTGACGTTTTACAACTTCTTGGAAATCTCTTCTTCAGAGAATAAAACCTGTACAAGATATCGACTATTTAAAACTATTTTTAAACTACACAGTAATGATGTGGCATACATCCTTATTCTTTACTACAGACGAATGAAAAAGTTCTGTCTTGCAATAGTCGGAAGTTAATGAAGTTCATTCCAGCCACTGACAACAAGAAGCCGGGTGTCAGTGATACAGTATTGATGGACTTCTTTAATATCATGCCGAGCGCCGAGCTTTTGATTGCCATACTGTTTCAGAAGTGTTCCGTGGTCCATAGTCAGTTAACACTAACTCACTTAACGAAGTGGAGATCCAAAAAGAGCTCTAAGCATCACAAGGCAACCAGCCTAGATACCGTGTCCCTAAACTATTTCCTAGGATGAACGTCATACTGTAATCTGGAATGAAAAGTTAAGGCTGACTGACAGTGTTCCATAGCCCTGGTTACAGTCTCTGTGCAGACATCAATCCCTGGGATGCGTATTAGTTCAGCTGATGAATCCCAAAGAAGAGGAGACTCATGTCATTACTAGTCACTACTAAAAAGACTATAACTTAATGAAACTTCGAACATTTTCTGGACATCCATTCAACAAGTCACTAATAAATTCAGTCCTCTCAATAGTCGAAGGAAAATTACAAGTAAATGAGTTTGGAAAGGTTTGCAAGGGTTTTAAATTTGCGAAGGTTGTTCATACAGTTATTAATTTAAATCTAGATCATAAAAGGAACAAACTTTCTACAGCTCCAAAATAATACAAAGTCTACATGAATTAGTCACGAATATTTTTCATCTTTTTTTCATGTAATTTTCTACTTGTTTTATTTCACTATGCATACACATACACTGTCTCTATCCAATTGATGCTATATAACGTGCTGAAAATTGTGTAGAGTATTCCGAAATAGATTTCAGAATAAAACCATTATTATTATTATTATTAGTCGTCAGCTAGTAAGCCATGTCATTATCATTTCCTCATTGCTGACAAATATCTTTTGTTTATTTTTGTGGTGGGACTACTGGAATAAGGGGCGCATCGCTGTGACTCATTCTGTTTTTCGGAAGGGTTTGATTTTAGTAATCAATCTACTAGGCTGTCAATGTCATCATTACATCTAATTTATAAGGACACTTATCTTTGTGTAGTTATTCTATTGGAATTATTTTCTTTCAAATAAATGCTGGTCTATTTAAATAATCTGTTTCTAAGTAAGTTGAACGTGAGGACAGTTACTCAACGACGGCACTGGATGGAGTTCGCACTATATTGTGAACTGACAGAAGTAGGAAATATGGACGACTGTAATCTGACCCAGTGGCTCAGTGGTAACGTGCTGACCGCGGAACCTGAAGGCCCTGGGCTCGATTCCTGGTGGAGTCGTGAGTGATCACTGGTGAGGACCCCTATACTGAGACGAAATAGCTATCCAGTGCTCCCAGGTTACCAGTGTTTCTGCAAATGATGTCGGTCCTTGCTGAATACCAACCTGAAATAAATACAGAGCTTAGAAGCTTTTTAAATTTCTAACAGCCAGTTAGAATTTCCAGACGTTGTTGTCATCATGCTGTCACTTAGCATAGGTTTAATTTCAGTCCCAATGAAAGTAATATCCACCTAAACAGATGAATACAATTTGCTTTAAAAACTGCGTGTACATAATTCAAGGTCAAAGCACCTTTAGTGTTATTGCTTGTATTACACCGTCGTTGATTGGACCGAACTGATCAGTCTCTGTTAAGGCACCTTGTTCACACATTATCACATTACGCATAAAGTATAAAATACACGTAAATTACAATAAGTATTACTAAACCTTTGCCTACATTATTCTATTCTATGTCGAATTTACTCATAAATTCTTTTTCAAAGTGATGATGTAAAGCCAAGAGCAGAAGTATACAAGTGCGGCAATGTGGCCAAATGTAATTCCATATTAGATGTGTTTATTTGATGTACAGCATACAGTGATACAGTATTACTTACTTGGTGACGTTGCAAGCATAAATTATTGTTCACTGTCACATCAGTGTGATCACGCAACTTTCGACATATCATTCTCACTCTTTTATCACCTCATATTCTTTGTTTCTGTGGTTGTAAAATCTTTCATTTCTCTGATATAGGTTATTTCATTCCTATCATATGTGTTAGGTGTTGATTCAATAAACGAAGATTCAGGAATCAGTCTCTCCCTCCAATTAACTATGTTGGACTTGAGTACAGTGGTTTCATTCTACCCCATTGTACGGTTCTATATTAATGGATGCATTACACTAGCTAAGTATTTTTTTCCAGATCATTGATCCTATTGGGATCTACCGTACTATATTTGACTAAATTCCAATGTTTCGGTAATCTAACTGTCCTCGATCAGCTAGTTTCACCTATGTACTTAAACTCACAGTCATTCCATGGAATTTTGTAAATGAAATTAATTCACTGAATACTGTCTATCGGAGCCTTAAGCCGACAAATCTCATTTCTGAGCGAGTTTATAGGTTTGATAGCCACCTTAATTCCAGACTTGTTGGGAATCTGGGACTTAGTTTCTCATATTCCTTCCTTATATGGATAGTAATACAGTAGAGGTATTGAACTCCTTTCTACTCATGTTGTCGTTACTACTTATATTCCTATTACTGTTGTTATTTCGCTTCTCATGCGTTCCTACGAATTACTTAACAAACTATGGAGGATAATTACTAATTAGTGAGGTGACCTGAAGTCTAGATATCTGTTAGAATGTGTTGGATTCCTGTAGATAGTTCTATCTAAACCACCATCTATTCTTAGTTTTACTCTACAATCCAACAAAGCTAATTCTCCATGTTCATTTTCTACCTCATAAGTGAATGAGACTGCACCTACTACTGTACTTATATGTGAAGAAACTGTCGATACGTCTCGATTTCAACACAGTGAATTTACCATCCACACGTCGCTACCATATCTGTGGTGTAGGACCAAAGGTTCGCAAATCTATGTTTTCTCAAGTATCCATATATAAATGCTACGATTCGGAGTATTGCTGATCACATCATTACTACTTTCATTTGTCTATATATTGTCCTGAAACTTGAAAAAGTGTCGCATCGGAACTAACAAGATTTCTACTAAAATACTCATCATTATGCCTCTGGAAGCAGTCAGAAATTCACTAAATATATTCACTTGGGACTTACTCATAGAACTAGGATATAGGTTGATGAGATCATACTAGGCATGCAGAAGTATGTGACCCCAACAGTCTTCAAGTTTCAGGGCGAAATATGCAATTAATAGTTGATTGTTAATGTCTTCGCCCTCTCAATCTTTCGAGAGATTTTTTCAAAACGCTTATGCTTATTCCCGTCCATATTTATATTGACGCTGTTATTAGGACAATTTCATCTTATACTTTTATTATTTTCTTAAGTTAGTATCTTCAAATCATTATATAACACTTTTCCAAATAAAATTCTTGATTTTGCACGACTTCAATGAGTATCAAATGAAAATCAAACTAAAACTACAACCAAAATTTCATTTCCATACGCTTAATGAAACATCTGATGTTATTCCGTGGAAGCTAGTAGTGGAATTTACAAGGAATATTTGATGCTATTATGAGATTGTTAGATAGATTTACGTGCTTCTCAATGACGCTTATTCTTTTAGTCATCAATGAACATAAATCTCAAAGCATTATTCAACAAACTATAGAGTTATGACAGTTCTTCCTTCTTCATCCAGTACGATTTGATTTTCGAGCATGAAATTTCTTTAATATAAGAGTAAAACTTGGGTTCTATCGCAGAATTTAATTCCATTTTATTTCATGTATTAGATGTATCCCACAGTAGAACAGTATTATTTACTAGGTTGCCTATCGGACTATGGACGACAGTCCATAGTTATGTCATATCCTTTTATGACTATGGACGACAAGTTATGTCAGGAACGTAATCCAGTAAATAATACTGTTTCACCGTATGATACGTGTGGCAAATCAATTAAAATGCGAGTTGAAATTTCTTGCTGTTTACTTCGCAGAACAAAAAACTTGATATTTTTCCTGAAATTCGATTTTTAAATTTATGAATCTAGTTGAACCATACAAACACCATCCTGAATAATTGTATCATAGAAGCCTTGAGATGAAGGTTTGGCTTTGGCCTTCAATAGGTAGTTGAAATCTGTTTCTAATGTATAACTTCAAATTTCTGTCAATAAAAGCTGTTGAAACTTAATTAAATAATTTGAAACAATTAGTCCCTTTTATGAATTTGGATAATGTAATTAGAAGACGTAGATTATCTGAAAAATGTGATGTATTAGCGCTATACATTTCGAACAATCTGATCACACTTTCACTTGTTAAGGCACTATATATGAAAATGAGGAAAGTAAACCGTAAACATGTATTTCTGAACCTGAAAAATGACCAACTTCTGCTTTGAATATTTTAGCGTCAAATCATCGCTACCAATGTAATCTTACCATGGAGAAAGCAAAAGCCTATCAACCATGGTTTGGTATCGAACAAGAATATGCTCTCCTAGATATTGATGGTTATCCACTACAGTGGCCTAAAAATGGTTTTCCTCCACCGCAAGGTAGGTGTTTCATAAGTACCCATATACCGATCAGTTTTTAAAAAATAACGATGAAAAGGTGCATTAAACATGCTTTGTGGTGCCTTGGAAGCTAAATTTTGTGCTCTATATTTTGCTATTCGATATTTTCCGCACTGATATCTCGCCATTGGTTTAGCTGCCTCCAACACTGGTCTCAAAAGCACAAGCCATAATCATCAGGAATGTTTTCTAGAGCTGCACTTTATTTCTGCTACTTTCTTTTCACACACTCATCTTGATCAGCTTACGCACACAGAAATACTCAGTTTATGCAATGCTGATTACCTATATCTCCACACAGAACAATGAAGAACTATCTTCCATCATGTGTTTCGAAGATGTACAGAAGAACGCAAGAGAAATGGAACTAATCCGAAAGTTGAGTGAAAAGATAGAAATTACTCGAATATATTCTAACAGATCAGGTTCGCTTGGTTTCAGCTTTCTTTTCAGTCTTTACTTACTACTCTTTGTCTTACTATTACAAAGTAACAATATTTCAAATATAAAATGTTAATTTCTAGGCCAAATAGTCTCGTTAACTATTAGTTATTTATCATACTCCGCTGTCCTATCATTTAAGAATATAAATGTGTTAGTTACAAGTTGAAAGAAGGATGGGAATAATCGCACGAAACAGTTGCCGACCCTGGTCTTATCTTCTATCAGCTGAGTAGTTCACAGATTTGGGAATCACAGTCAAGTGATATATTTATTGGTGGAAGGAAAACAGCCTTCAGTCACATGACAAAACTTATCAAATTTATGATCAATAGAGATTTGAAACTAACATATCGGTTATTGCTTGTTGGTGTTATCTGACGAATATCTACTACTGTTTAGTGAAGACTAGTGGAAGCAATAAAAGTGGTTAATAAACTCTAACGACAGACTGAAGAACTGCATTCAAAGTGTTAAGAAAATATTCCGGTCCCTTGCTTCATACTATAATTTGTTTCGTAGTGACTAGCAGTGGTATCCCGGACGCGCGTTTTGTCCTATTTGAGACTTGTCAGCTGGATATATCTGGATCCCAGTGAGTGATGTTGTTTCCACTGAGACTCTAACCCAGCACTAATCACTTTAAACGCCAAAGTGTTTACCACTGGGTCACTGGAGCCCATATTCCAAAAAAGTTAGGTCAATTCTATCCAGAATAAAGTTGAGAAATTACATATACCAATAAGTAAGCAAACATTTGCTTTATGGCTTGTAAAAAATCAAGTACAGTAAACCAGATTGCTTTTACCGAACCCAGTTATCTATTCTGAGTTTGAGTGTGAAAGTACTGACTGTATCATTCATAAACCGTTACATCGTTTTAACAAGGAAGCCATAATAAGTGATAGGTGAATTCACTTCCAAGCTGCATAATACCTGCACCCACTAAAATATCAGGTACAATAATTCCGGAGAAAATCCCCAGTACATCATTACGATCAAGACACGCTAAAATAATGGCAATTCTGGTTACTTCTTCAGTCGTTACAAAAGGGATGGATTGAAACAACCGTAGTAGTTACTAGTAATATGCGACAAAATAATTTCCATTTAATTGACTTTGGAGGTTTGTAGGGATTTAGAGGTTTTTTCAGTTGGTATTCATCATGTACCGACATCAGTTGGAGGAACATTGGAAACCTGGGAGCACTGGACAGCTTTTAGGTCCTAGTATGGGACTTCCTCAGCAGTGAGCACCCATGACTCCGCCAGGGGTCGAACCCGCGACCTTCAGGTTCCGCAGCCAGCGCGTTACCATTGAGCCACTGGGTCAGAATCCCATGGTCCATATTTCCAACTTTGGTCAGTTCAGGACGCAGCGTGACCGCCACCCAGTGTCATTGCTGAGTATTTGTCCCCACGGCTACCAGGTATTCTCCACTGGTCACGACTTCTCATTGGAACTTCGGGAATCACTTCTCGAAGCTAGTCACCAATGAGCACTAGTTCAGTTGAATTTGAGCAATTTAAAAAAATAAATAATGACTGGTGATTATGTCTGCCTCATAATAATCCAGTCAAGCTATGCCACTGAATATAACAGTAAAAACTTGTCACTAAAGTTGTTGAATGGTGCAGTCCACTCAACTGCATTATACTGAATGTAAAACCAGTAGTTTTAATTTTAATATTTTGATCATATACCAGCAGATCAAAGTCGTTATTTGTTTATTATTTTTTATCATATACTTAGGTCCCTATTATTGTTCCGTTGGAGCTGGTAAAGCACTGGGTCGTGATATACCAGAAGCTTTGTATAGAGCTTGCATGTACGCTGGAGTTAAGATCTGTGGTAGCAATGCAGAAGTTATGCCTTCACAGGTGAGAATGACTTTATTATCTTTATTTCTGATACTTTCTGGAAGAAATACATTCTCTACTGCCACATTATACGCATATTTTCTCTTCGATTATCTATCAACACCTAAGGCACAGTATACGCACTTTCTCGGCTTCGTACCGATGAAGTAAAAATGTAATATAATCAAGTGCCTTGTATTTGGAGTAAGATTCATTTGTTCCAGAGAGTATGTGGAAAAAGAACTGTTGTCTGTCCGTGATATTCTAATCGAAAACGGATAGCCGGAAAAATTCATCAAAACTAACATCAACCACATTGGTCCTAAACAAGAACTGATGACAGTGGAGGTGAAGCCTTTGTTTCTGCGCTTACAGTTTAAGAGAGTCGCTGCAAGTGATGTTCTATCACAACGCCTAGCTACAATAGTTGATAGGATGTCTTATGTGGGTCGGCTCTGTATATCATTCAGTAGTCAGCTAATGCTCAGTCCGAGACTAAAGGACAGGCTAATTAGTCTAAGCTTTTCATCTTGCATGTATGAATTTGATTGTTCCTGTGGAACTAGTTACACGGGACCTACGACTAAGCAAGTGCGTCTCCCAATACAACAGCATTTACCAGCTTGGTTTGGAGAGGGTGAAGTGAAAGCGGTGAAAAGTGCGATCCCAGCGCACCAACTAGATACAGGGCACCAAATAGATACTAATAAGGCTTTCGTCGTATTTTAACAGCAATACCACATGTAGCTCGCCAACGCCTGCTCAACACAGCAGAGGCTATCGCAAACCTGAACTGTGTAAATAAAAAGAACATGTCTACGAGCTACTTCTCCCTTGAACTTCAATAATCTAAAGACTACTCCTTCCTTTTTATTCCTTATCTTTTTGTTCAATAACACATCATTCATCTGCATATGTACTATCCCAGTATTGACGAATTTTGAAAACGAGAAATCGATTTCCTTACAGTCCTGAAATGTTATTCCATTTTGGAAATGTATCTGACCCGAACATGGTTTAATTTTACAATTTACATATGCATTTTATAACTGTAGAACGTGAAGGCAATTTATTGAAGAGATTATTCTTCGTTCAGATCGTTGCTTTTCATCAACTCGACCAAATATTCACACTGCTCCAGGGTCTTGAACGCAGACACGCCTACAGACGCCCGACGATAGCTGTATTTCATTGAAAAAAATATTCAGATTGCTGCTTTTGATCATCTATCGTCTTTTAATTTTACCTAATTTTAATTCTGTTCTAGTGTCGAAATACTCTATGGTGATTATAGTTGGTTTTCATGGGTTTACTTCACTTTGAAGTGCAGTCCTTCTTCTAAGAAGTTATGTATGTTCACCTCATTTCCATGGGCTAACTTCTTAGAAGGAAGATTGTACCCCAAAGTGGCTGTATATATATATAAATAGGGAAGGCTGGACATAGGGTCACCAACCCTACCCGTAAAACAAATCCAACCACTAAAGAAACTACAAAGCACAAACAAAATATAAAGGATAAAAACAAACTTATTCCTCGCTGGAATCGGAGAGACGAAATGACGCCGGTCGGTGAAAGCCTTCGAGACGCCAGTCGGCCGATGTGTCTTCTCTTCTTTCGATGAAAGCAAAAGTGAACATGGAGACATGTAATGTCCGCACCATGTGTGAAGCTGCCTGGCAAGGCTGCGCAGATTGCAAAAAAGAGATGAGGAGATATGACATGGAAGTGCTAGGATTCTGCGAAAGCAGATGGAATGCAAGTGGACTCTCCAAACTCTTATCTGGAGAGTCAATAATTTAATCTACTCCGATATTGTCACCCAGATGAAAACCACGAACACAGCACACTGAGTTTTTGAGTGGCTATCATGATGTCCCCAACACCATCGAAGACCCTCTCTCATGCAATGGGAACCAATCTCCTCCTGTATGATCAGGATCATCAAGGCGACATGGATTCAACTCAAAAGGAGGAAGGAAAGTCACAATCATTCAATGCTACGCCACACACCTACAAGTAATGCAGATGAAGAGAAGAAGGAGGAATTCTACAGACAACTGCAATCAGTACTGGACAAGACTCCACTCCAGTTGGTGACATCAAAATTCTAATGGGTGGGATGAAATGAATGGCAAACTGGGAGTGGACAACACGGAAAGAGAATTCACCGTGGGTCGAGAAGCACTCGGTGAAATGACGAACGAGAATGGAGAACTATTTGTAGACGTCTGCGCATTCAACGATTTGGTGATTGGAGGCAGTGTGTACAAACACAAGGAAGTTCACAAAGCGAGATGGATTTGATTTCACCAGATCCTAGGACACAATACATTAAAAATCAGATTGACTTCAACTCAGTGTGAAGAAAGTGGAGATGAAGAGACGCAGCCTACTGGACATCAGATCAAGAAGGGGAGCAGATGTAGGTTCACACCACTCACTATCTAGTACAAGCAACCTACCTTCAAAATCAGGTTGAAAGCCTTCAAGGAGGTTGGTGATAGGCCACAGTTCAAGTTCAACACCCGGAACAGAAACTGAAGGACGAAACTACAAGGAAAATCTTCACGTCAGCCATCAAGACAAAATGGGAGATATCGAGCAACATCCTTGAAGAAACCTGTGTGGATAAGCACTGAAACTTTTTGAAAGCTATATGGAAAGAAAGTTTCACAACCGTACTAGGAAGGAAGAAGAAGCGCTAAGGTAAGGGATGGATCTTGACAGATACATGGAAGCTGATAGAGGAGGGAGAGGATGGTGGTGAAGCAGTAGATAAACCAGTGCAGGCAGGGATGAACGACGAAAAGGGGAACTGAACACAACGTATGAAACACTACACTGGACAGAGCAGTAAAGAAGAGTGCATGGAAAGACAAAAGACACTTCCACGACACACTGACGAGAGAAGCAGAACAGACTGCAGGTGGGAGAGACAGAGACCTGACAACAATATATCAAATAAGCAGGTTACTTTCTGGGAGGGAAGAGATCAACACGGATGAAACCAATAAAAGATGATGAAGGAAGTTTAATTACCAAAGAAGAGAAACAAAGGAAACGATGGGCTGACCACTTCAAAAATTTCTTGGATCGACCACCATCTGCAACTCGTCCAGAACTACCACCTGCTACCCAGCCACAGAACTTCAAGTGAACACAAGCTCTCCGATGAATGTCAAAGTCCTGAACGCCATAAAGCTACTGAAATGCTGGAAAGCAGCAGGACCAGGTGGAATCCCACCAGAAGCACTGAAAACAAACGCAGGAACAGCAGCCGACATGCCCACGCCACTATTGCAGAAGGTCTGGAAGGAAGGAAAGGTACCTGCTGATTGATTGGAAGAAGGGCTACCTTGTCAAACTGCCGAAGAAGGGAGACCTAAGCCTTTGCAAGAACTGGCGCAGAATCACGCTCCTGTCCACCCAGAGCAAGTAAAATATATAAGCCGCATCATCCTGGAAAGAGTAAAAGATGCTCTGGATTCAAAACTACGGCCGGAACTGGCTTGATTCAGGAAGTACAAATCATGTGCGGACTAAATTGCAACGCCACACCACGCATCATCATAGAACAGAATATAGAATGGCAGTCAACTCTCTACTTCAACTCCATCGATTTCCAAAATGCCTTCGACAGCGTCGACCGAGAAGTAATTTGGCAGTTGCTTCAACACTACGTAGTGCCACAAATCTTTATCAACGTCATTCAACAGCTGTATGACGAAGCCACATGCCTAGGGATCCACAATGGGAAGCTCAGTGACACCTTTGAAGTGAAGACAGGAGTAAGACAAGACTGCCTACTATCACCCATGATACTCCTGATTGTGGTGGACTGGATCATGCAGCAAACCGTGAGGAGCTGTGAGATGATGGGCATACGCTGACTGGACCGATGAAAAGACCCTAAAACATTTGGATTTCGCTGATGATTTATGTCTAATGTCTTGCCGCACAAACTCGAATATCTACAGGCGAAAACTAACAAGTTGACAGAAGAGACAGGGCAGAGAAGATGGGGCTTCTTTCAAGTGAATGTAGAGAAGATGGAGGTGATGGTGATGCCCAACCAGCGCCACCACCAACAATAACAAGCTCCAATCACCATCAATGGGAGAAACATAAAGGAAGTGGTCTCTTCCACCTATCCAGGCAGCACTGTTTCAACTACAGGTGGCACAGACAAGGATGTCAAAACCAGGATCGGAAAGACAGCAAGACAGGCTTTCAGTGTTCAGATCTACTGTACTCAGCATAAAGCGTGAACAACATCCGGATTTTCAACACTAATGTCAAGCCGGTGCTTCTGTAGGGTTCAGAGACTTGGCGCGTTACGAAAGGGATTTCCAACAAACTGCAGACACTCATCAACAACTGCCCACGTTGGCTCGTTACTGAAGCTCACTCTGGCTGGCTGGCAACGAACCAACCACGAACCTATCACTCAACAAATATGCAGAAGAAAGTGGAGATGGATTGGGTATAGACTGAGAAGACGGTTTGGGGACATCACGCGCCAGATCAGGCCGTTGAGTGGAATCCAAAGGGGAAACGACTATTTGGGCATCCGATGTGAGGGTGACATGGAGGAGATCTTGTGAGGAAGAAATGAGAGCTTGTGGACTGTCGTCGAGCCAGGTTCAAGAGACTGCAAAGAACAGAGTGCACTGGAGACGTGCTAGTGAAGCCGTATGTCCCACGAGGAACCCAAGGGACAAATTATATTATATATATATATATATATATATATATATATATATATATATATATATATATATATATATATATATCGCAATCGATATCCCATATAGTAGTGACAACCGACAACAGGTGCGGAAACTGTCTTCATACTTCTGTCATTTGTCGCCAGTTACTGAGATCACATGGTTTCTGGGATATATATATGCGTCGTTATCAACATTTGTAGGTTATGCATTTTTGGCGCCAGTTTGAAGTACTTCTGTACATCATAAGTCATACCAATGACATTCATTTTAGTACCAGTTGCAGAATAATTTCAGTATGATATTCTATGTTTTCTAATCAAAATTTCAACCAATTCTTTTAAAGAAGTTGTAATCTGAAGCATAATGTGAGTTCATTTTCTCGTCCAAACTCTCTGTACCGCTATTACTATTTCATTCAGACTAAAGCCTGATGTTCCTCTACCGTTACTATCGTTCAGAAATGTAGTCTTCATGGTAGCTGTTTCACTTATGAATAGCCTTAGTGAATTAAGTGACCAATTTGATGCAACTTAATGTCACTAACTCACTATTACCCAACGGGTACTATTCCTAAATCTCTTGCGAAGTGGTATCTATAAACCCTATAGTTGGCTCAGTGAATGTATTTAAACATTCACTTATAAACTAGAATTAAAATGTAATTAACATGAACTATGATCATGGTTTGATCGAACAGTATCATAAACATTGGATGTCGAGTGAAAATGTGAAATTACATTTAGGTAGTATTTGTAAAAATAGATAAATAAATGTATCTATGCATAGTAATCCAGACAGGAATATTTTTTATATTTCACTTAAACAATAGTTGTTAGACAGGTAACTGATAAACTGCATGAAAAATTATTTTTTATATTCTCTATCCTCTCATCTGGAAGTCAAAATTATTATCATTATATATGCATTTTTATCGTTTGTACCCATAAACTTAAATATAAAAAATCTAGTTTTGAAATATATTGTAGTGGGAATTCCAAGTTGGACCATGTGAAGGTGTTTCAGCTGGAGACCACTTATGGATGGCGAGATTTATACTACATCGTGTTGCTGAGGACTTTGGAGTTATTGTGACACTAGACCCTAAACCAATGGAAGGTAACTGGAATGGTTCTGGAGCACATACGAACTATTCAACATTAGCTATGAGAACTCCAAAAATAGGTTTACAGTAAGAAACACACTTGTTTGCAAGGTTTTCTTTTTCTCGTTATGTTTCTAGATGTAACTAATAGATGACAGAGATAAGATAATCGAATTGTTAATTTACTGGTACAACTTACTTTAAGTATGTGACTTTATTGCACCAACACATAGCTCACATCTCGTGCAGCTCTAACTTTCACTTATTCATCTTTTGGATCTAAGCTATCAGTCAGGGAACCTTAAATTAAAATTCACAACTTAATTGTGCTGAGTGCATAGCGCACGCATTGTGTGACTTTATACCAGCTGAACCGTATTCATTTTATGCTGTGTGTAGTGGTAGGAAAACTGTTCCGAATAACGGAGATCGAATCACTTACTTCTCTGTCTTTGAGTAAGACAAAAGTGAAATCTACATGGTGACAGAATTGATGGGCTGATGAGGATAATCTTTTGTATAACTGGTTAAACACTCCAGGATTCACTGATCAGACCACTGGACAAATTTTAGTTTTTGACTACATTCACTAAACAACCATCTGTTTTCTTGTTCTGGAACATTTTAAAAGTTCGAAAGTCATTCCGTACTTGATTCCGTTACTTAGAATAACGCATAATCAAAGAAAGACAAAATTTATTTATATGTATATATCACAGGGTCACCTACTTCCCAAAGATCGTTCGTCTCCCTAATGTCCAGTAAGGAAATAATGAAGGTTTTAGTTCATCTTTTCTTGGGTAGGTTTAAACCAGGAAGAAACAGTTACCCAGAGGGAAAATTCTCATTGGCTGTCTACTTGAAATAGATTTATAATGAAATACTTTTCCTTCAACCACCCAGCTTGGCTTTCTCACCTGTAATATTCTATAATGTGGCGTTAAAAACCATACTGAGACAATAAACCCAAACAGTTGTGATTCTATAACGATAAAATGGGCAAAAGAAATATTTCTGCTTAACTAATTTTGTCATTGTAGATAGTTGTAAGGAATTTCTATTGAACAATTTCTGTCATTCAGAACAACGCACCAGATAAAACCATGTTCAAATAGACATTATAATGCTACGTTTCATCTACCATTACTACATAAAAGGCAACCAGCTTGTCTCCTAACTGGGCTGATGATTAATACAGAAAAACCTTTGAAATGGTCAAAGCCTTGTTGAATGAGCTGTGTAGGACAAAAATTATTTGTTTAAGCGAAAGGTGCGCTCGGCGAAACGAAACCGACTGATTGTACACATTACTCAAGTACTTACGCTTCAGTCTGTGGATAATAATAAACATTGATTTTTGTCTACCCCCTTGCTGGGGTAGAAATGTTCAGTCTTCGTAACTGTTCACTTTTATTTTTCATTTCACTTTGACAATCATAGGACAATTTAAATTCAGATTGTTTTTAGAATACTAATTATCCTGGATTCAGTCATCAGCTCAAAATAACAAACTTCATCACATTGCAATTATCAAGCGATTAAGTACCACCCTAGTAACTGAGACAGCTAATTACATTCCTTTATTTTATGGAAAAGTATTTTTCCAAATGAAATGCCAAAGCCTGATTGGTCGTTTCAGTTGTTGCTAAAATGGCTTTTAAAGTCTCTTCAGTTCATTTCTCAACTGACTGATGAAATGCATTCGATAAAGTCATGCTTCTGACAAAAACACATGATTACTTAGTTGCAACGTCACATTTGCCTAGATAATAGCAAAGTCCATTTTGGTCGGTTAATTAGAAATAACACACAGTGAAACAGTAGCATTTACTGGATTACCTGTCAGACACAATTTATTGTCCATAGTCATGTCAGTCAACTCCACAACTTCGAAACAGACTTTATATATTCCTAATTCTCTCTCCTTCTCTGTGATGACAACGGTAGTAGAATATTCCATATATCTGGGACAGGTGTAGGATCCTCTCTATTGCTTATATTTGTTGTTGGTTCGACAAACAAAGATTCGGTTATGAATCTCTCCCTCAACCCAAATAAGTTAGTTTCCAACACTGTCGCTCTATCCCACCCTACTGTGTGATTGTGTGTCATCGCATGTAGAGCCATAACCCAGCTTTTCTCTAGATTTCTTATCTTATTAGGATCTACTGGTCTTGATTTAGCTAAGCTTTTGTGCTCTGTTATTATAATCGATCCTGGTCGACTGCTTTGACCTATGCACTTGACCTCGCAATCATTGCAAGGGATTTGGTAAATCAGATTAATTTGGCTAATTGCATCGGTAGGAACTTTTAGCCTACAAAGCTTGTTTCTAAACTAGTTTGTTGGTTTGAATGTCACTTTAATCCCAGCCAGCCTTATTGAGGATTCTTCGTAATGCTTATGAGGTGCCTTCCCTGTATAGTAACACAGTAGAGGCTTTGAATTCTCTCTTAAACCTGTCACAATTATTACCATTAGTAGTGGAATTATTACTAATAACACATGTATTACTACTACTACTACTACTACTACTACTACTACTACTACTACTACTACTACTACTACTACTACTACTACTACTACTACTACCACTGCTAATATTTTTCTTTCGATTTCTTAAAAGCAACTATATTGAGAGTGACTGATGTCTTTATATATCTGAAGTCAGTGGTTATCGTCTTCTGAACTTCTCTTATATCTTCATTTATTTGTTCGACTTCTGTTGGTTTCCTCTTTATATATTGTTGTTCTAAAGTGTGGTAAGCAGAAATGACACACTCATGTGGACTGTGTGTTGTTCTATCCATCTCATTGGCGTAATGACCTTATAATGTTTATATTATACAAACAAATTAAAATGGCAGCCAAGTTTTGTATTTCAGACGATAAATTCCATTTTCCAGTGAGTTCTTGTACGTCCACCTCTTTCTACAATCATGACTGATATTGTTTTATTTTATTGTGAGGTTCTATTCTCGATATTGGTGGTGATGTCTGCTGTGACACTGAAAAAAGTTGACTAGTCTTAGCGAACAAGAATAATAATCTTTTTTCCAGTTTTTCTATCATGGCGCTTTATCTGCCATCTTTAGGTTAACTCACCCTCTGACCTATGTTTTTGGTTGCCAGAAGTCTAAACATCGATAAGACAAAGCTTAATAAGAATTACTGTCATCTTAACTTTATGTTAAATAATCAAGCATCAGTTACAAACTTCATTATAGCAGTTACATCTTCATCATCTATCAGCTCACATATTTGCCATTCTGATACAGACCTGTAATTGACTATTTTGGTCAGGTTTCAGTATAAGCCGGCTTCTTGTGTCGTTTTCCCTAGAAAATTAAGTAAACCGATTGTTGAAAACTCTAATGGAAAGCCTGATCTCATTTCGCCAACCCTGTCTCCAGACTGATTGGCTTTAAACAAAAGAAAGGTTTGTTTATAAGGTTGTTGTAGTGAAATGCAGTTAGATGGATTTCCTATTCATTCATCATCTAGGAACAGCCTTTGGTATTTGAGGTGGAATATAAATATAATAGGCAGCTAAACATCTTTTTAGCGGCGGTGAAGAGACGATTGGTAATTAATAAGTGGGTGAATTAGGAATAACCACTACCTAGAAGCTTGTTCACTTTCATCCAATGGTCACATACATACTGCCTGCAAGACCAGCAGACCTGTAAACATGAATTTTTTCTTTCCATGCAAAATATGATTAAACAGAATTTCATATTTATCCAAATTAAGATCTGATCACACATTTACTTGTTAAGGCATTATATATGAAAACTGGAAGTGAGGGAAGGATACATATGATATAAAGGAATTCAATAATAACAAAGATAATGAAAGGAAAAAAAGATAAGATTTGAAGACTATCTTGGTAATACGATAAAATAAGCATTACCAAGGTAGGCTTAATGTAAGGACAAACTGTTTTTGTACACACACAATAGAGGTTAAATTTATTTATGGCTAGCACCTCAACAAACTTAAGTATACACCCCTGACAGTTTTTATACAAAATTGTAAGGGCTGTTTTGATATCAATCCTGTGACTCTTCTCAATGATATTTTTCTTTCTTATTATTGAATTCCTTTACGTCATATTTGTCCTTCCCCCACTTCCAGTTTTCATATATAATGCCTTAACAAGTAAATGTGTGATCAGATTGTTCCAAATATATGGAGCTAATGCATCTAAATAAATTTAACCCTCCAAATTAAGATCTGTTTTCCTTTTTGACCTCATTTGTACTTTTTCGGCAAGGTCATTCTTTGTTTAGTCAAACAGGAATGATCACATGATAGTGACCTCAATTTGGTTTTATCAACAAGGCTGGGATTCTAGTTGAAACTGAAAGGAAACTCGGTTGTCTACTAGATTCAAACCAGTTATCACTGAGTTATCAACCATGAACAAAATTTTCGTTTAGAAGTTGACTGGTCAGATAACTTGAAGAAAGTAAGATCCAGCTGTCTGATTATAAATAAATTTGAAGATGGTCACTTTTAGAAACAAGGTTAAAAGTGAATTCCTTCATACTTCAGGAGCTACCTTTGAGCTAGTTCGTTTCAGTCTCCACACAGTAATCATTATCATCCATAGGGACGTGATAACCAAACTCAACTTCTTATACAGGTACAAAGTCGACGGTCACTAATTTTCTTATGTTTACATTGCCTCCCTCAGTTAAATCGCAGCTTGTTTGCGCTAAAACCGATATCACATATTGATAATGAAAGTTAATATACACTCTCACCTATTTTAGCATAAGATTACCAAGAATTTCGAATTCTTCGCTCAATAATTTTCGTGAGTTAGGATAACATTACATTTCCGAATTATCAATGAAAACTGTGACATATTACTATTTTCTTCAGAGCAATAGAAGATGCTGTAGAGAAGTTATCTCACAAACATACCGAGCATATTCAATCATACGATCCTAAACATGGATTGGACAATCAGAGACGTTTGACTGGTCACCATGAAACAAGCAGCATTAACGACTTTTCATCTGGTATGTTAGTATTTACAATAAAAAGCATTTATCATGTTGGTCATTTTATAAGATTAATCTAAATCAGACTTAAATAATGTCATCCAGCATGAATGAATATATGGAATGTTTATTTTCCTAGGAATCAAATATGATTATTACCTAAATGCCCGACCGATAGCTGCTACCTTGACGTGGTGGTCGGGCTTGCATATCACAATGACCCAACGAGCTGTGCTGGTGAAACACTTGTTCCCTCGAAGTCCTACCATACCAGAAAGGTCTGTTGCATAGTGGTTAGACGAAAAGCAGTTACCGTTATAGTGTAAATTGCTACACTATGATGGGGGTCTGAGGGCGAAGTCGTACTGCTGCTAGCTGGATGGGGTGTGACAGCAGTAAGGTGTTTCCCTTGGATGACCAGCAGTGCCATGCTGATGCTGCCTTCTCAGTGGAAGGGGGGGTTAGAAAAGGTCGGCCCCAAAAATAACACACTCCACCACGCCCCACGGTCTGCCGGGCCGGCGGTGTTGGTTCACTTGTCGTTTCCTTTCGCTCATCCGGCCCCAAAAATACAAAAGTTCAAAATAATCATACTCAAAAGGCTGCGTGTGACAGGCCTCAAGCAGATGTCCGATGGGCTCTGCGGTCACACAAATCTCTTTCAGGTACCTTAAGAAGAAATAGCCTTCCACGGTGTGGGCAGCCGGGAAGTGTCAACCGCCCTCACAACTCTGTCAGCACCCAAGTTTCTTCTGACTGCTATCCTCCTCCTCCATCATTACCTTCTAATCTTCCTTCACGTCTCTTAATTAATGATGCTGCATCATCTTCAATTTCTCCTACCTCTGCAGCCTTCGACAACGATCTGAGTCCACAGAACAGCATCCCTGGTCTCCTTAAACCACGCTCCAAATTACATATTGGAGCCTTCAATGTCCGCACCCTCCGTCAAATTGGCCAACAGGCTTCGTCGGCAAAGACTCTAGCAACTCGGGCATGGATGTGTGCTGTGTTTGTGAGACACGCATACAGGACCCAAGTGTGGTTATTCACCTGACCAATCTGGTGAATCTGCAAAATTCACCCTTCGAGTTTCTGGAGATTCGATAGCTAGCTCTCGTGGTCTTGCAGGTGTAGGTATAGCATTAAGCACCAGGGCAGAAAACTCACTACTAGACTGGATCCCAGTTGATAGTCGCCTCTGCGCTATGAGGCTGAACGGCACAGTGAGAACTAAAAGGAATAGTGAGACTCGCCGTTGTCTCTTTGTAATCTCTGCTTACGCACCCACTGACTGCAGTTCGGATGAAGTGAAGGACGAGTTCTACCATAAACTGTCTAACCTCCTCTCGAAAGCCAAACGTTCGGACGTAGTGGTTGTTGCAGGTGACCTCAACGCACAGGTGGGTAGACTGAGTGAGGCAGAAAGGCACTTAGGTGGCACTTTCGGAATCCCAGCTGAACGTACAGATAACGGTGATCGCCTATTACAACTATGCTCAGATAACCGCCTATTTTTAGCCAGCACCAATTTCAGACATAAAGAAAGGCACTGTCTGACCTGGCGTCCACCGAGCTCGACTCAGCGATGGACACAGATAGACCACATTGCTATTAGTCATCGCTGGAGAGGATCGGTGGAAGACTGCCGCTCCTTCTGGAGTACGTGTTTGGACAGCGATCATGCGTTGGTCCGAGCACGTATATGCCTGCGTCTCAATGGACGTAGAAAAAATTTGGCAACAAAACCACTACGAGTTCTGCTGGACAACGAAAACACCAAAGCCGTGTTCAGTGAGAAGTTGGCTAGGCAGTTATCGGAACAAAAGACTGTCACTCATCCAGAAGAAGCTTGGTGCCATCTTCAGTCTACTGTAAAAGCAGCACTGGAGACTGTAGCCGACTCCAAGATAATGGCTAAAAAGAGCCAGTGGATATCAGCAGCTTCTTCCAAACTAATGGATGCACGTGAATGCATCCCTGCAGGCTCTGAGTACAATGAAGAGCGAGCGCAACTTAAAAATAGACAGAAAACGTCTGCGCAACGATCGTGAACAGTGGTGGGCAGCAAAGGCTAAAGAGATGGAAAAGGCAGCGGCGATCGGTAACAGTAGACAGTTATTTAGACTTATTAAGGAGACTGGGGGGAAATGGTCAACAACAGTTAGTGAGGCTATAGCGGAGAAGGACGGATCTGCGATTCACTCGCAGGGGAGACGACTGGGACGATGGGCAGAACACTTCGAGGAACAGTTTAACTGGCCTCCAGCCACCATTGCGTTGCCCGCTATCCAGTCGGACCCTGAATGGGACATAGAGACAGGTCCCCCAACACTAGAAGAAGTTGAGAAAGCGGTAGGTAGCCTGAAACGAGGAAGGGCAGCAGGACCAGACGGACTACCTGCTGAGGTATACAAGAATGGTGGTAGAGTTCTCTTAGTCAGGTTAACGGAAGTGTTAGCCAGTATATGGGAATCAAATACGATCCCCTCCGACTGGTCTAAGTCACTCATCATCCCAGTCTTCAAGAAAGGCGAGAAGTCCTCTTGTGATAACCACAGAGGAATCAGCCTGACGAACATAGTGTCTAAGATCCTAGGTTCTATAATTCTCCGACGCCTGAGTGGAGCTCGGGAACAGCAAGCCCGAGAAAACCAGGCAGGCTTTAGACCTGGCCGTGGATGTATCGACCAAATATTCACACTGCGCCAGGTCCTGGAACATAGGCATGCTTACAGACGCCCGACAATAGCTGTATTTCTCGACCTGAAGGCGGCATTTGACTCCGTTGATCGAGAAGTCTTATGGCAATGTCCCTCACTGAAAGGCGTGCCTAGTAAGTACATCACCTTATTGAAAACTCTCTACTCGAACACTTGTGGGCATGTTAGAGCCTATGGTGAGTTGTCCAGGGAGCTATACTCATCAAGTGGTGTCCGTCAAGGATGCCCACTATCTCCATTCTGATTTATTTTATCATAGATATTCTTATGGAGGTTTCCCTCTCGTCACCTAATTACTCAGACGTTGACTCAATCACAGGTGAATTTTCGTTAGACTTAGAATATGCAGATGACAAAAGGCTCGATTGGCTTTTGCCAACTTACGCTACCTATAACGCTGCCGTGATATCCGACTGTCTATTAAGGGTCGCGTGTACCGCACAGCAGTCCGCTCTGTTCTCCTGTATGGCTGTAAAATATGGTCATTGAAAGTGGAAGATATGAGGAGGCTTCAAGTGTTTGACCACCGTTGCCTTCGTAGTATAGGACGTATTCCGTGGGGTCACCACGTGAGTAATGCAGAAGTCAGGTGTAGAGTTTTAGGGAGTAGAGGAAAATCAGTTGACATGGCAGTGAAACTTCATCGATCGAGATGGTTGGGATACGCACCAAGTATGCCTAGTCACCGATCGCCTCACCAAACAATGTTGGCCGAAGTAGGCCTAGGCTGGAGAGAGGCCCGAGGTGGCCAGACTAAAACATGGCACCAATGCATGAAGTCTCTGACTGTTGGTTTGAACCATATGAGGCGGATTCAGACTAGGTGGTTGGGGTCGGCGGGACAAGAGGAACCAGTGGTTGGGGACTGTAGGTGATATGGCTCAGAACCGATATCAGTGGCGCAGATGTATACATACATTATCCTCATCTTAACGATGCTACACCTAATCTCACCATTTTTCATTCTTCCTTCCTTTCTTCTCGTACTTTATATTTCTTTTGAATGCATTCCCTTACCTTCATCCTTCACCTCACTACCTTTCTACTTGATGTTCTGATATGAGGTGCGGCAACTCGGACCGTTACGCAGTAATGCCTGGTCCTATGTTGATATTGGTGATGATTGTCTAAATGATGTGCCTGAAAGCAGATCCTCAGTAGATGTTGGTTCCAGTTTCGGTAGCACCAAACGATTGTATTGATTCTAATTTAAGACTCCTCAGTTTTGAGTTTTTTCAAAGTCTTCAGGGGCAGAAGCCTAAAGTTCCAAGTCTGGTAACGACTGGTTAGAATTAAAGTTTACTGTTTCTTCAGATTAACTTAGTCTATGGTATAGTGTAGTGACTACTTCATTTCATCAATATATCTTTCTTCGTTTTATCAAACAAAATATGTGCAAAACTTCAACACAACTAAGTATAGTCCACACCATTAATTCGAATGAAAGAGGTATCAAGTGTTTTTTGAAATTCAATAGTTTTTAGTCTTGGCTGGTTGAGGAAATCGTTAAACACTTCTAACCAGCTATCATTAAACGCAAATCTCTATACTTTCATGAGTTTGCACTTAATGAACATAACACAGCAGTACACCTTAGCTATAGGTGACTAACTGGTGCATACTCTAGTCCAACAGGGGGTCATTTGTAGTTGATAGTTTTCTGTTCGCATTTTCGACCTTTGAAATGAACGACATCTGTTCTTACCTCAAGAGCTTTAAGAAATTACTGCCGATTAACTGCAAGTAATTGTTTCAAGTCAAGGTCCTTTTGCAAACTGCTTGCAAACGTCAAACTTGCATCATATTAATTGGGAATGAAATCCATGCACATTCGTCTTATTTCGTAACAGTCCTAAAAGTAATGTAGGTTAATAACTAATCCCATTTCTACTTCAAATGTAACAGGCTTTTATAGTAATAATACTGTCTATACACCTATATATTAAGTTATAAAACGAAGACATAACACCGAAGAAAATTTTCTCCTGATGATTTCATACATGAAAGCTGTACAAAAGTACTCATAATCATTAGAAACGAATAACAGTCTAATGTTTCTTAATCCGTAGGGACACATGACTATTCTAGTGTTCAAGGGTAGAATAGAAAGTTTCCAAAGACAGAAGAGAATTATTACTTTGGTCACAATGAGGCCGATGAATGCACGTAATGTTTTTGAACACAAAAATCAAGGTTAGGTTTGTGGATAGTGCAGATGATACGACTGAAAGCCCTTGGAATTGCGGGGAGGTACTTCATAAATTATTTCAGGAGAATTGCTAGAAGGAACTGGATGTCCAAAGATAATTTGCTGTTCAAGATTAAAACCGTTGATATTTTCCTCTCTCCTCTGGATAATCAAGCTGCACATTACTCCAAAATAAGCTCACGGACTTGAAACTATGTACGCCAATCTACGTTGCTACTCAGGAACAAGTTAACCGACAGGTGTACATTGAAGTAGCCAAAAGCGGCATTCTGTCTTTAACGTATCTTTGGATTAACTGTATGCTGTAAAATGAGATTCTTATTTATTGATTCCTTGTAACATTTTCTCTTCTTACGTATATAGGTGTTGCAAACAGAGGTAGCAGTATACGTATTCCGAGACAAGTTGCTGAAAATGGTTGTGGTTATTTAGAAGACAGACGTCCGTCGTCCAACTGCGATCCATATATTGTCACCAGAATGCTAGTTGAAACAACCTGTTTTTAATAACTAACACTTAAGACAGGAAGAAAACAACTAGTGAAGAGAACCAAAGGATGAAATTACATTTATTACTTGTTTTTGTGTTCTATCTGCATTAACTCATTGTGTCAAATGTCCGCATAGATCGATGGGTTTTTTAACCACCAATCCACTGCCATCTTCATTTTTCCTTTCGTTATTGTCTTCATCAAAATCAGCAGTAGCAGCACTATGTATCTCATACTGACTTATTTCTCTATCAATTTTTTTCATTCTACCTGTTTTTCACACATGTACTATACTTTTCTGAGTAGTTGTTTTAAATGAAGTTACGCATTAATTTTATACTAACCAATTGAAGCACTGAGCATACACTCGGTGTTTAAAACAGTATCCTTTGGTGTCTACTTTATATTGTCAGTCATTTGAAATGTAGATTGACGGCTCATATTTAACAAAAAATAGAATTTATGTTTTTTATATAACATGAATATTAAAAATGGGAAAAATTCTGGTAATCATTTCAATTAATGTCTAATTTTATTAAATATTTGTCATCGTTATTACTGTCATTGGAGATTAATTCAAAATGTTTAAACAGAATCTTACAGAATTTCATACATTCACAATAATAATCATGAAGAAATAATAATACCAGTGGTATGGAATGCTTTTATTTTGACCACTGGTCGTGTTCATTTTCTCATACGGTGTGAACTGAAAATAGTAAGTATGGATGGCTGGGTCTATTTTTCAATTTCATTCTAGGTCATATTACCAGTATAAAAAAAAGAAGTGAGCTGCGAGTATTCTTGTAAAAGTAGGTAATTAGATTCTCTAAATAACCTGGGACATAATGGTTTCCTTCCACTATTGTGTTGTCAATATCCATACATGTATTTTGACTGCTCGTATTACCAATCTTAACTTTTTCCTTGTTCTTGCCAGTGTGCATATTGATATCCACTCAATATATCGAGCAGTAAAATCATTAGAGGCAAGATTATAATTCAGGTCAGTTAAATGGCCAAAGTAAGTAGATAAGTAGACTACAAAAAGAAATCATCACATCCCTGTTAATCAGAGCTATTTGATAAGATTTACACAACTCAGGTTTTTGCTAATGATTTTGCCGAGAATGATAGTGAAGGAATTGATGAGTAGTCCGCTCAGCTCATAAATTCTTCTGAATAAGAATAAAACGGGCAATGAAAAGGAGTGTAATCCCAGATCAGATTAGTTTGTTTACTATACTATACAGTGGTGCAGTATTATTTACTAGATGACTTCTTGAGCACAGTTTATTGCTCACATTCATTTCAAATATTCCTTGCGCTTTCAATTGTAAGTGGCTAATTCATTATGAGTGAAGCACTACAGAACTATATTTTGAACCTGCTTTATATATTGCAATATAGTCATACTTTTCAGGTATTATAGACTGAAGCGTAAGCTTAACCGTTAAGTTAAAACGTAGTAACAAAATAAACATTCAGTTGAACAAGTGATTAAAATATTTTTACAGGTCTAATCTTGGATGAAGTCTTTGCATACATACAAGGAGCTCAAATGAAGACAAGCTTCTACTGTTTGTAGACATGCAAGATACAAATCTGAACAACAAAGCCCCTGCGTAAAGCAATACAGTTTTGAGTAAATACATGAGATATTGACGTTTACAGCAGACAAGTGACAGAGTTACATATATAGTCAGCAGTACAACGCAATGTCACTGTGTAGCGGAAAGACCAAATAATTAATGTTCAGTTTAGATAGATGGAATTCATTTAGGAACGCAATTTATTCGGGACAGTTAAGATTTATTTTACACATAATGGGTCATTTCTAGCTTAAAAACCTGGTGTTTTAGAGAATAAGCTACAAGGTGGGAAAACATATGAATTCGAAGAGACATTGATATATCAGTTTTCATGCTCACTGGTTATTATTGTGAGCTGTGTGAACAGATAGTTGTAGATGTTGGAAAACAAATATGAAAAACTTCCTCAGAAGTATATCTCTGTTGTGGAAAACTGCAACGTGAGCAAATATTTCGGAAAATCTACAGTATAATGATTTTCAGGTCAAAGTAAAGAAAATCAATGTTCTTATTTCCTTTGAAAACGTAGCCGAGGCTTGAATTTGTAGGTTACTAATCCTTGGTTGTACATAAATACTCTACTTTCACGTCGTTTGAATCATTCTACTAAACTCTCTAAGAAAATCTTGATCCACGATTCAAGAGGAGCTGAATGGAATAAATCCTCAAACATGCAGCTGGATATCGTTTTCTTTCCACCTTTCAGTAGTCAAGTTGGATGGTATTCAACAGTATGTTTAACTAGCCAGAAAATGTCACAATCGATGTACATTTCAGTCTCAGGGTTAGAAAAAAAATCTTTTCAGAGCCTTCCAGTAGTCTCCTTTTCTCCTATATTTCTATCTACAAATGTGGATACATAACCATTACGTAATGGTGTTTCACGAAGCAAATGTGAGAAAACCAGTTTCCTCAGCCCAAGATCACTTCAGTTAAGACAGCCAGTCAAGAAAACGTACACGAGCAGCATTTTGTTTGACTGACTGAGAAGTTTACTACATTAAAAGTCTAATATATTAGTTGGAAAAGGTTATTATATACAATAATCTTCACACACAATCACCAGAAATGTATCTCTATCATACATATGGTTATATGAAATCTTTTCATACTGCACATAGTCGTCAATGTTTTAAACCCATAAAAATAACATCTATTTGCAACCCAGAGGAAGCCAGGAAGTAAATATGAGCTCAATTTATTCCCTATCTCTTATTCTTGTTGCTTAAGTGAGAGTGAGCAAGAGAATAGGTTGTATGGATATTTAATAGTAGGATAAAATACTTTATATATATATATATATATATATATATATATATATATATATATATATATATATATATATATAGAGAGAGAGAGAGAGAGAGAGAGAGAGAGAGAAAGAAAGAAAGAAAGAAAGAGGAATTATCGACAATCTTTCCTTGTACATAGAATGAGCAATTTGCAAATTATGTACAAATTGCATGGTCCATGTTGACATTTTCCACAGTTGAGTAGTTTCCCTACTATCCAACTGTGATATCAACGGGTTTTCCATTTGAAATCATTCAGCCAAGGTAGTAAGGTGTGATCTCTGACACAAAAGTGTCATTGATTAGCGAAAGATACTATTACTGAACAAACCACTCAGGCTGATCTATGTTACTTCACCAGCCCGATCAGAGTGATCTGAACACCGAACGACCATTTCGCTGGTTTAGGAACGAGCTCATCAACAATGTACCAGGCAAAATTCCGCTCACAGTCAAATTGGTTCAGATCACCGGAATCTGTCTAACTGTTAGAGGTCACACCTTGTGATCTCGGCTGAGTGGTTTACAGCGGCAACACTATTGACACCACAGTTGGGTAGTTGAGAAACTATTCAGCTGTGAAAAATGTCAACATGAACAGTGTAATTTGCACGTCAATTACAAATTTTCCATTCTATTTTAGGTATACCAGTCCATAGAAGTCAGCTAGCCAGATTCAGGTGATCTGAAATAATTTGGGTCTGTGAGCTGAATTTGTCTGGGTACGCCGTTGATGAGCTCAGCCCCAAATGAGCGAAACGGCTACCCGGTATTTCAATCACCCTAGTAAGGCTGCGAAATACTATACATCACCCTGAGTAGTTTCTAACTATTCAAGTTATTCAGTAGTAGTATTCTTCCACTTATATATACTACTATAGATCAAAATTTCAAGGTTGAGACTTATGTAGCTAACAAAATGATATTTGTTCAGATCAGTTATTTACTCAATCAAATATTATCAACATATACAAAATGATCTCAAAAAAGAAGTTCATTAACTCCAAAGTATATAAAAAGTATTGATTACCACTGAAATAGACAGAAGAGCATGCAACCTATCAATATAAAAAACCAGTAAACAAGAAACAATCATTGACTACTAATTGATGGAAAGTGAATGGAGTTGAATCAGATCCGAATCTTTGGTAGTATCGATCAAGATTTGTCTGTCATTAGTTTGGTTTATAAGGTTGCCCGCTGTTACCTATTTCCACGAGTTTCTTTCCTTTCCTTCATGAAATCCAACAAATATCTGTAATGCTGGCATACGTTGCCCTCAGTATATAAGCTCAGTATATGGTGTGCATGTTATCCTCTCTCTCTCTGTATTTAAAGTGAATTATTTTTAACGCACGTTTAGCATTTCCGTTTATTTCTTTCTTTTGGGTAATACAAACAAATTCCGTCCTCTTGAAAAAAGTATACGTATAGAAACTCAAGATATCTATTATCTTATTCTATTGTGTGTATTAATTCTACTTTTTAAAACCTGTTGATTACCTTCGAGGAAGTAAGCTGTATCAGTCAGAACTTTCAAATTGGTATAAATATGTAATCACACCTGAAAACTGGAGTGTAATTCTATTTACAAGAATAAAATTATCAATGCCATGGAAGTTTGAAAGTCGTATGATTAATCTGATATAAATATGAAGAATCAATTCTGCTCAAAACTTTATTCAGTAAACAGTACTGTTTCATTATGTGCACTGTCGAGTATATTTTGCCACACTGCTCAAGTTTTACTCCTACACTGTCTGGTTTTCTGCTAGAACTTATGAAAGTAGTATTCTGTATTATCCATCTTTACATATGGTTCACACAACACTCTCGTCCTTTACTTTTCATTTACTTTGAAGATACCAAATAATTTGTCATGTTCAGCAAACCAGTCATTTTATCTACTCTCTGTAATGACTTAATTACTAGAATCGATCCAGCACTATGCCAGAAGTATAGCCCTAAGGGTAAAGCTGCCGACGCACATTTGAAGGCAGCTAAAAATGACCCACTTAAGGCCTATTAATCTCTCAAAAGTTAAGAAGAATCACATAACAAGCAAATAGTTAAGTGGTAGATATTTATTAGATGAGTAAAGATCTATAAAATGTTAGCCTTCTCTTAACAGG